ACAGCGCATCAAATTTGCAACTGCAGCTAACAGTATGAAGAAGAGAAATCCTTTTCATCCAGTGATGTGTTTGTAAAGAGATGTTAACAGCGCAAATATACAGCAGATACAACATTCAACCATACAACCATATTGTACCAATATACAAAGATGACGCAATGTGCAGTCAGTTACGATACAAAATGTGAAACTCGAAAGTAGAGGGAGCACAACAACCTAAGTCATTCCATCAATCATTGTTATAGACAAAGGATAGACAGGAAAAACAAAGCAAAAGAGAGGAAGAAATGCATAATGTGAAGGAACACTATTGAGGGACACGAATGTGCAGCAAATATAGAGATACATCAAAAAAGTGGAGCTCTGCTGCTGTGAGCATATTTCCATTGCACTGCAGCGGCGTACGCGGCGTACGTGGCGTACGCGGCGTGCGCGGCGTAGTATGAAGGAACCTAAGAGCTCAAAAGTTATCATCAAGCGGGACATTTTGAAGTGGTTTCAAAGATCATATGCTGGATGTTTTCGTCTGTCAGATGAACAGTGCTTGCCATTTGACCTGTTTGGCGCGAAAATTATGACCATCTCTGTTTCACATCCCATCTTGTATTTATCATGTTTTATTTATAGCACAAAAAAGTGCGCCTAAGTAGTCGAAGCTAGCCATCAGAAAGGAATAAAGGACCGCAACACAAAAATGTAAAACCATCACTAGAAAGAATGACCACAATCAAAGTCATTAGCCTTAAAGAAGCGTGGTATAATACCAAATTAACATGAAATGGTATAGATTTCTAGAATACAAAAAAAGACGGTCATCCGCCGGAGATTACCGGAGATTATCGGGGATCATACAAGAAGCTGAATAGGCTTGTACGGCTTCTCGCTCCTGTTTAATATGATAGTGGAAGGAAAACAGGAATACTCAAATAGGTAGACAGCGTAAAATTCGTATATCAGTTTCAGGATATGAAGCTTTTTGCTAATAAGGGAAGAAAGATTAGTCGAAGTGGTTTTGTATGAGGGTGCCTTTATACCGCGTCGGCAGCCGCCGCTAGCAGCCCGTAGCAGCCATCAGCAACCCGTAGTCGCCGCTAGCAGCCCGTAGACGCTGCTGACCGCATTCTTTCTATCAAACGCAAGTCGCAGAATTAAAAATGCAAAAAGAAGACCACTCAAATTTTGGTAATTTCAAAAAAGCTCACCAAAAATCTTAGAACGTTACAAAAAATACCGAAACAAACACAAACATATGTTTTATGTTCTCGTCTTTCTAGCTAGGCAAAGTCCTTGTTGAACGACTGTTCTTATAAAAAGTAATGATTTTATAGGAATTTGCTATACGTTTCCATGAAAATCAAAACTGCTCTCGCTTAGCACAAAAATCCCTTAGCTAGAAAGAGAAGGTCACGAAACCCCTGTTCTTGGCTTTCCCGCCTTTTTTGTGACGTTTTTGGGCTTTTCTGGGCATGTTCAAAAATTGCAAAACTGAAGTAATTCTTTTTATTTGCTTGTAACTTTCGATCTTTCTCGTTTTAATTCGTGAAAAAGGTACTATAGTAAAGAGCATAATTTTCTCTATCAAATAATAACACTTTCGGAATTTTTCGTGGTCCAGCTAAAAAAATGCCAATCTTGAGTAAATTTATTCAATTGCTTCTAACTCTCGAACTTTCTCACGCCATTTCATATCAAAGACATTATTGTAAAAAGAAAAGTTTCTTCTTTCAAACAAAAATTAATACGGGACATTCCACCAAGAAGGAAGGAAGTTATGACACTTTGAAAAACTGGCGAACGAACTTTTGAAATGACCTAATATATTCAAGATAAACCAATAGCCGAGAAATAGTTTGAAGCAGAACCATACTCAAAGGATAAACAAATGCACACCTACATAAACTGGACGCATTCAAAGTCAGAGAAATCACATCGCGAAAACTTTGGCGAACTGTCACTTAACAGTAAGAGGAAAATTGAGCACCAATAGGATAACTAGTCTACCTCAACAAGACAACAACACCAATTGACACAAAAATGACAGATAAGATGGAACTGCATACTGGAGGCAGCAGGAAGGAAAAAGATGAGAGATGAGGAGCTCAGGCGGATGTACTCAAATTAGTAAGAATCTTATGATTTTTTGCCCCTATGAACAAAAGCAGCCAGCGGGCTGCTATGGGCTGCCAACGGCAGCTGCCGGTGCGGTGTGAAGGAATCCTAACATTTAGAATGCCTTGAAGAGTATAAAAAGCTGATTCTAAATCTATCTTTCTTATCTGATGCGGGCTTCTACGCGAGGAATTTTGAAGGTTTTGTGGGCAAAAAATTCAGTGCATGATTAGTGAAAAATCAGTCTTTGACTTTTCCTAGTGTTCCGAAGTGGCAGAGTCGAATGGATATGTTTGAATTAAGAATATGAAAGAGTAACCCGAAAATTAATCGGGCGTTAAGAAAACTGTTACGACTGATTTTGTCCTAGCTGCACATACGGATTTTAGCTCATAACCTTCGTAACTCCTCACCCAGGAGATGGCAGCAGATAAGGAAGTATATTTGAAATCAGCGTTGCGTACCCTTCAAGTCAGTAGCCATCTCATATCAAAAAGCCACTTCAACTAACATTTCTTTCCTTGTAAGCTCCCTCAGTGTTACATTAGTGGAAGAATGAATGCTTCCAATTGAACATGCAGAACATGACCAACATGGCCCACCCAATGATATCTACCACAATGGCAATTTATTTTCATCGGTCTCCCGGTGCATAGTCCTGCAGTCATTTCTGCAAACAGTTCTTGAAAAATTCCGTTTAGCTAGTTGACCAGTACGATAATATGAAGAGTTTACTAGAATTGTACTCAAATTCGAAGAGTAAACATTGATAGGGTTTTGAGCCACTTTTCTTATCATCAGACAACATTCCTACGATTATTGGGTTGGCTAAAAAGTGATCCCGTCTCAAATATAAGTGTTCAATCTATAGCAATCAGATAGCTTCTATTTAACGAGACTTTTTGTAGAGAAGCAGTTTCTGAGCTCTAGTATCGCATATCATCTAATCATAATTTTGATTAGTACTAGGCTGTTCAAAAGTTCTGTCCAATTTCCAATTAGCGTTCAACGCAACGGTTTTCTAAGAGTTTTGCACTAGCAGTATTATTAACACCATATGAAAGCGCCTTTTTGCCTCTCGTCATCTCGAACGCTTACTAAATCATTGGAACATCAAGTATGGAATGCCAAGCTTCAAAACACAAGTTGTTAGATTGCAGTCGTGCCCAAGACATTCTCGCGAAAACTCTGCACTAAACATGAACTTATCTTGTGCAAAATTTCATAGTGTGTAAGGGTGTGATGGTCATCATATGCACATTTTTACTCCATACGAATTGTAGCAGTCTTCAGACTCGTCTTAAAAAATTGGAGGTTCCCTCAGCCATTCTACAAACGACAGCAATCTACGCATAGCAACGAGTGATGTATTCAATATTGCATATGCTAGGATAAGGCAGGAGTAAGCAGGGCCATCAGCCAATTAGCTTTGGCTGTGACGCGTAAAAAAATCTACTACCGAAAAGTCTCCAAGTGCATAGGGGGCCAAAATAGCGGTTTTTTTCATGTGCTCACAAAAAACTCCGTGCAGCAAAGAATTCATGGATTTTATTGGTCATATTATAATCTCTGGAATGTAAGCTATTCAACGATGGCAAGCAAAATGTCTGCTTGTTAAACAAGACTTTTTCTCCAGAAAAAAACGCGGTTTCGAGATCAACTTTTCGAAATCAGCATGCTTAGTTATTCTTTGTGCCAGCACGCAGCCCCGTAGGTCATACTTCGCAAGAAATAGATATATCGATATCGATCGATAAATGGCTTGCGACTCCCGCTCCGTCCCGAACTATGTGTGCTAAGTTGGTCCGGATCGGTTCAGAAATGGATCATACGTACAGACAGACAGACAGACAGACATACAGACAGACAGACACTCAGCTTTATATATAAGATTAAACAAGGTAACGGTCATCAATTGTCCTTTGTTAGTAAGTTATGTGCCTTTTACACATATCACAATGTTTTTTTATGAACAAAAACTCCAAAGCAAAATCTGAACGTTCAAAATCCCTTCTAAAAAGTTACATAAACTAAGGAAGTCTGTAAATCGAATACAACTTTGGAAACAACAAAGTATAACAAAACCGCAAGGTCCTTGCGTGCCAATTTCTTGAACAACCCCCTCTATGACATTCCTGACTTTCTTGGCTTCCAATCCCGCTTTAGCGTAATCATCCGCAAATGGTTGAAAGTATCAGATAACAGCACAAACGTCTCAGTTCGCATTTCAAAGTTTTTTTTTTGAATCAGATGAGGAAACCTGAGTACCACTCTACCCGTTATCAGAAAGGTCCACTTAAACGCGAATGACCATCTGATTCTTTTTACACTAGTATTTGTGAAGACACCATCCTTGCAAGCAAATGATTATTCATTAACTTATGATTTTTACATAAAAATTAGGGTGTTTTTTTCGTAAACATGTCGCAATGGTTTTCTTGATAATTTTGAACAATCAAAGCAGTATTTGCAATCAGCAATCGTATTAGAGTTAGTTTCTGATCATTCTGGAATAATTTACACAAAAAAATATTTTTGAACATAGATTTAGTGAGTACAGGATTTTTTGTCTGACTATTTGATCCAAAATGGGTCGTAACAATTTTTATAACCTGACGAAAGTCTCGAAGAAAACGTGTAATAAAAAAAATCTACATCCAGCTTTGAATTGTGAAAAATCTACATGCCGGTGATAGTTATGGAGGACATGACAAATTCTAGCACGTGGTATTAATGTCAGATTTAGCATAAAAGCATGTTGCATTGATGTTTACAACTGATAACGGGAGTACTCTGTTGAAGAATGTCCGGTCTAAATTTCGATGCGTAAAACAATTGCGTGATAAGATTGAAAAAAAGATCTTGTCGTTGCTAAGACTGGACTTTTTTAGGCCGAACAATCGTTGGAAAGACTAAGCGGCGATGCGAAAACGACAAAGGTAAGAGATTTCCGTTAAATTGGGTACATCCTTTCTTTTCCTTTTTAGAAGATAGTTTTTGCTACCAACAGTGTATGGACACTACACTATTATTCATTTTTGCAAACTTCTTACTATCAACAGAAAACGAAGAATTTAGACATTTTTTCATAACGCATTGGAATTTAACCTAATAAGCGTTCAAAACCTATGCAGTCGGAACATCCAAAATTGGATATGCTAACATCCAAAATTGGATATAACAAGATATTCTGAAAAAATCATTGAAATTGTTTGACTAATCCTTCCAATTTGTCTAATATTTTTTCGTTACGTAGTACATACAAAATCTTATCATAATTATATTATATGTTAGTAGGAATTCAATTCACTCATATGTTGATTAGAAATTCTTTGACGTAGAGGGACTTATGAAATTTTGTACAATTCGGTGCACACTTGTGACTTATGTAATAGACACTCAGTCTGGTCAACTGTGCGGAGCAGTTCATGGCTGTTCTCAATTCTTCTCATTAATCATCAACTGCACAGCGTTCTGAAAGAACTTGAGAAAATATTTCATGAAATAGAACAAATTACTTCAGCGAAACATATCAGTCTCTTGTAGCCGTAATAGTAAATAATGTCAGGTTATATGAGAAGCTTCTGGGAGATTGGGTGTCCCTGGAATGTAACTCGGTTCTGGTGTGGTTCCCGGTGGGCCTCAAGCACCTAGACCTTACTCAAGTGCCTTGTGCTCGCCCGCTTATGCATACGACGCATTTAGCCTACCAGTAAACCTGGCGCGACTGCGCAAGCGCTAATCTATTATCTATTCCATTAATATAAAATAAACAAACAAACAGTATAAACAATCAAACTGCGATCATAAACTTTCATTAAAGCTGATTCCAATACAATTCCAACAAATAAACACTGTAAACGATAACTATACTAGCATATAATCTCCCACGTTGTCTATATCTAACTACTTCCGAAAATCGATTGTCCCGAAAAGGCTCAGGTTGACTTCAATTCATTTAATCTCAACTCAATCGCGATTCGCTTGACCGCTAACGTACAAAGCTTCCAATCGGGAGCTCATACGCCATGCATGAACACGAAGTGAAAACACGACAGTGAATATAGAAAGTGAAGGCTAACGGAGCTATAATGAGGCGCCGCTTCTATAAATAGCTATTTGGCTGCCAACGCGCCGGGAAAGGTCTGCACGCGAATGCAGCGCGTTGTGACTACCGTAATCGTCGCCGAACTGCGCGGCAACTTGTGCTGCTAGCCTCACTGCTTCAAGGAGCACTCGCGTCGCAGAACCGCGGCATTTGGATTCAGGCAGCGTGACTAGTTTCGCAGATACCAAATAAACCTTAACTCTGACTTTCTAATGAACACTGAAATTTATTCAATCAATGCTTTGAATTCTAAGAAAAACATCTTGCTCCCTTCAATCATGAACTGCTCCAAAGTTCAAATCGCGATTAGATTCGCAGTATGAAAAGTACATGACATAATACACTTCCTGCAATAAGTGTTCGAGTTGTCTCCGATTAGAGGAAGAACTCGCGAATGATAAGGCATGACAATGCATTCCAATCATCTGTGTTGTCAAAGAACATTTCCAGAAATTCTAGGAATTGTTGAGAATCCTCATCCCAAAAAACTCAAAACGTAAACCAGCCAGTCAACAAGACTTATATTCAGCAAATATTATAATTGTGAGATGACTGGAGCTGTTTGCAGAGACCTTCTTGAATTTGCGTTAGATCTTTTGTTTCCGCTTTGGGACACGAATTTGAGCTTGATTGTCTAGTTTAGGTCTCTCGCAATACTTCTGATTTTTTTGTTTCGGTGACATGACATTGGTAGAAAATGAAGGGAATCTAAAATGCGAAGTAATGCTAGAATGGAAGACTATCGAAGCAGGCGTGGTTGGAATTAGGAGACGGAGCTGTTATAACATCCATAGCGAAAGTTCTCAACCATTGACAATTATGAGTAGTAACTTTTTTAGGGAAGCTTACTATCGTAGTAAATTATATTTTTGGGTATGTAGTGCTTGCTGCCCACGGGGTTTGTATTACATCTTTCAGAAGTAATGTGCTCTATAGATATTCTATTTGCATGCGTACCTCCTTTTTTTTCTGAGCACAAAATTTTGTTCACTAAGACAAATTCCTTCCCATAAAAATAGCTTTCACGAGAAATTTACGTGAAACACTTCTTAGCTCAAGCGTTTGTCTTGCAGGCAACCGAAGATAAGAGTGGAGTGCGAAAATCGGCGCTTAACATGACAGCCGAAGATGCGAAAAAGAAAGCCGCAGCCGACGAGGTTTGGCGTCTGCGAGTTTTTTCCGAAAAACTGTTAACAAAGTGCAATTTCTACTATTGTCATATCTAGGAAGCCGCTAAACAAAAAGCACGTCGTCTTGGAACTGTCAGCTCACTTCTGAATAAATTTACTGAACCAGAAATCAAGGAAGAACCGATAACGTGAGTTTGAGTTTGTGCGCGGTTCAATGCGTTTGTCAGAACTTTCTCGACGTCAAGGTGGAGTTTTTATTGAGGGATTTGTAAACAATGAGAAAGCCGGGCAATCCAAGGATTGTCTGAGTACAATGCATTCCAGCCGCCGCCTTTGAGGAGTAGTCACAAGCTAAATCAACCCTTTGTAGCCCTTTGAGAACTCTGAGAAGTCTAAATTCTTTTCAGACTGCCCTTATTTTATTGCAAATTGTACGTCCATTTCAGATATAAACGCTCGCCCTATTTGGAACAGAAAGAAATTGAACGACCTAAGAAAAAGTACAACATCGTCAAACCTCCAGTTGATGACGATTTTGATAAGCAGGTATCCCATTTTCGGGGCATTTCTTGAAATAAATCTGTTCCAATTACGTATTTTAGATGGAAGAGATTCGAAAACAAATGAAGACCGGGTCAAATCAGTTCCAGAGCCAGTTGTTGGACCTCTCTAAGGGTATTACTATATCGGCCGAAGACATGAAGAAACGCGCAGAAAGTGAGAAGCATAAGATGATCATCGATTCCGTTACTGGAGCGTTTGTGTAAGTACAGAATTTTTACTATTTTTGATTAATCAATCCATAGATGGTTTTAGAAAAGCAGACGAGGAGAAAGCACGCTGGAAAGAACGACGAGATGCTGAAACTGAACGTGAGCTGGCAAGAATCGAAGCCGAGAAACCACATAAGAAGAAGGTCATGATTGAACAACCGAAAAAGGTGAGTAATCGGGACGAAACTCCATAGATTGCTACGAGTAATGTACCTTTTCGTAGGAGCCAGAAAAACCCGCCGAACCAAAACGAACTGTGCGAAAAATTGTCAAAGATAAGCAAGCCACCGCCGCACCAGCAGCTGCCAAAGTTCCAAGCTTCGCCATGGTGCCGAAACCTCTTCAGGCTCCACCGAAGACGGCGGCGGGACCTACGGTAGCGCCCACACCGGTAGCCCCAGCCAAAATGGCGCCAACGGCAAAAATGTCTACGACAGCAGCAACACCTCCTACTGCCCCCGTGATGAAATTCGCTTTTGTTCCAAAGGTGAAATCACCTCCACCAGGTGCTCCGACTGCTTCTTCATCAGCTCCCACTGCTGCTCCTCCTCAGGTCAGAGCTACTGTAGCTCAGCACAAGGTGCAGGCAGCTATGGAGAAGCCAAAGCTGCCAAAAAGTGAAAATATCATCAACGAGGATACTTACGACTTGTTTGAGGTAAGTCTAGGTTACGGTAGGGTTACTGTACTTCTTCTCCGTCCTGAAGCTACTTCCTTACAGGCTGCAACTAATGTGGCAACACGACGGCGCAAGAGTCTCGTCGAAATGAAAGCCCGCAAGGAACAGCAAGCGAAAAGCGCACAGGAAGTGAAAGAAGTAAGAATCCAAACCATTCAAAAAATTTATGTTGCAATTATGCTCCCGAAAAAATAGTATTCGTATTGCGAATGCCACCAGAAGTTTTTTTACAACCCCCATCGATTTTGCAAGCGATAAGACTTCCAGGAGCTATACCTAAAATTAGACCCACTCAGTCTTTTTGCACGTGAATGCTTTTTCTTTTCTTATCACAAATATATTGCCTTGAAATATCTTAATGATGCCATTGTGATGGAATGGAATGCACACTTTGTCAACAACTTTTGATCCGAAAAAATGCAGCGATAAGTATAAATATATATTCTGCGGCGCAATGAAGTATTGTCAATCACTAGCTAGAAGTACGTCCCATTGCTGCATTTTGATTATTTTCAACCACAACCTGGCGCATATCTCTTCATGTTTGAAAAATGGGATTCGAGAGAGAATCTCCCCGAGAATGGCGGTCGATTACATTGCTTATGGTAAGTATGGTCTTCAAAGTGGAGAAACTTTTTCCCAACCTGCCACACTTATTAGGTTGACGTGTTATTCCACATTGAAAATAGTGAAAAATTCGTTTTGAAAATGCTTGTACCTTTTAATCTACGTTTATCCAATGCATAATTTTTTGCTAACAGTTTACAACTGTTCTGTCTGGCTATAGAGCTTATACAGGGTGTCCCAAAAATGTATCCATTGTTTGATCGTTAATATCTCTTTTCCAAGAAATCTTTTGCCTTGCTTCAGGCACCATTTTAAAGAGCTGGCTTCAACTTAGATTTATAGTATGAAGCGATTGAGCGATCGCTCTTCATTACTGTGGGATTACGGTGGAAACTTTAAAGAGGGTTTTGAGCCATGTAAGGCCATATTTTGCCTTAGAAAGGAAACAAAGCAGCCTGAAAACTTTTACACTAGGCTAATTAGAGTTGCTGATTCTAACTGTAAAGTTCCCTACTTATTATGATGCTTCATTGCAGAGTTATGCCAGGTAAGAGGTAGCGGCCATTTTTTCAATGTTCCTAAAAAGTGCGCTTACACCGTTTAGAAAGCTTCGCAGTCTTGTAAATAGTTTAGTATTGAACTCAGCGTCCATAAAAACCCCAATACACAAGTTTTCACATTTTTTTGAAAAATTTTGAAACGGCAGCTTTTCCCACCTTGACACCACTTGTTTCAGGTTTCTACCGTAATCTACAGTAATGAAGAGGGATGGGTGATTCGTTCTATACTGTAGATCTAATTTGAAGCCAGCTCTACAAAATGGCGCTTACCGCTTCTCGAAAAACCTCATAATAAGAGAGTTATTAACAATCAAACAGTGGATACATTTTTTTGGGACACCCTGTATTTACAGAGCTTTCATTCGACATCAAATGAAACTGTATAGCAAATAAACGCGAAAATCATAGCTATTCTTAGAAACATGCAATCACCACGAATTCTACTTGGTCAATAAGAGTAGTCGTAAAACCGAATCTAATATATAAAAATCGTCAGCTCAATTCAAAAATCTTCGAATAGCGTGAAACAGCAGCGGATCCCGAAGCGAACGCTCTTTGAAATAGCAACTTTAGATTACTGGTTCGCTAATTTGGATAAAAGCATTACATGTTATAGCATTTTTAACGACTAGCATCTGAAAAAAAAATTTTGTTACTCTCTAATTGAATTATGCTTCAAGCACTGCTACATAGAAGGCTGTTTCCTCTCTCAAACCTTAATTGATAAAAGCGAATTCATCGAAACCCGAGAAATTACGGATTTTTGAAATTTTTTTCCAACAATTATCGATCAATTTGATAAAGAATTAGTAAGTTTTTTTCGAGGAGAGGATTAGTTGCTCCCATAATCAGCTAAGGAATGATTCTCCTCTAGCAGACCTAGTATAAACTTGACGAATTTCATCATGCTGCTAATCAACAAGGTGATGTCATCTTGAACTGATTACGGAACTGCAAATGACGTACCAAATAGTTGCCCTCACTTTTTAGAAAAAGTACTTGTCTGCCCTAAATGTACTCTTTTACGTACTGAGGAGATAGTGCTGAGAACTACATAACAAAAAATTGCATTTTCTATTGAGTATAGTGTGCCTAGCATTCATGCGTGCATGACACTCTACCCTCATTCTCCTTCTTTTTTTTCCTTATTGAAGAAAGCAGAGAAATTGGTTGTGTAAGAGTTGTGGAAAGACAGTAATATGTCCTTTTGCACATGTGAATTATAATTCATTGCTAGCTCGTTAGAGTAGCTTTTTTGCACTCTTCAGAGGAGCATTCTTTCCACATCGGAATTCCCACTCGGTCCCAGTAATGCTTGACTTAAATCTGTTTTTTCTTTCCATTGTAAAGAACGACTCTGACTCATTGCAAAATTATTATTTGCAAGTGGCTCTGACGCAGTGCTTACCCTCTTTGTCATCGGACTAGATTTTCGGGCAGATCGGACTGTTTCCAGAACAATTTTAAGAAGGATGAGTAATTCACAGTAGTATTAAAACATTGTTTTCCAAGTTTCAGTAGCCAGTATTGAATTGAGAATCCATCCTTTCAGAATATTTTGCCGCACCTACATACCACCTATTAGAATCTGTGCATCATTATTATGTCATTTAATATAATTTCACAAGCGGTAAGCTATGTAAATTTGGAACAATTGCGACTTCAGATTATTTGAGAAAAAAAAAACACAAAATCGCATTATCTAGATACTCTTGTGTGCACTAAATCATATGACCTCAGTTTTCTATTCTTTTTGGAAGTGGTAACTTTTCGTACTCTATTTTAGGATTATTATTTGCTTTTTGGGTTTTGTCCAAGCCATGATATCTTGGAGAATTTAATAGCAATTCTACCCGGCTACAGACTGACATTTGATTCTTTTTCAGTTTTTATGGATTCTATGTTTAGTAGCCATTTTTAGACGGCAGCTGTTGCTCCTAAAGCGGTCCCCAAAGGCGATGGTGCTTCGGCAACTAAGATTCGAAATGTGAGTTTAGCCCCAAGAATAAGTAAATACGTTTACTGAATAATGCAAAAAATGTTTAGGCACTTGGCAATGCAACAAATCTCCGTAAGGACAGTCCTTCGCCAAAACCAACGGACTTAGAGAAACCATCAAAGCGCTATAGCGCAAGAAGGAAAACGCAGGAAATTGTCAATGAGTCAGCTGAACCTAAAGTAGGTTTTTAATGCTTTGAAAGTGCATGGTGCGCAGAAATAGTAACTTCAGATCAAAAAGAGGAAACAGCTGTTCAAGCGGAATAGGTTTACACGAGATCCACATGATATTGACATCTTGCTAGGATGGGAGAAAGAGAACACTTTCGAATTGGTGAGCTGACAGCTATGTCGTTTTAGCTCAGCATATGAAAGAATTTTAGATGGAGGAAATGTTTGCGAGTGCCGGTAAGGAACGAGTAAATGCCTCTACGAATAAGAAAGTGAAACGTGCTCCGGCATCAAAGATCTGGATAAGTGATCTGACTGTGAGTCTGCTTTTATATTTTTTGCCCATGGACAGATTGAAAATAAAAATAATTGAAAATAAAGAAACAATAGTAGTGAGAAAATACTAAATAATTGACGAACAGGGAGAAAGGGGACGTTGAAGAAGTTTTCTGATTGAATCAGCCACACACTCCGAAAGATTATTTTGGGATGCTTACCAAGCATGCTTGCGAGCTGATGACAAAATTTTAAAAAAACGCGGTGTGGCTGTCACACCCCCCCCCCCCCCCGAGATTATTTACACAGCTTATTCGAAGAAAAATGTGTTAAGAATTATTCTAATAATTTACAAGTAAGAATAAGTCACTCACACAGTTTTAATGTAACTTTCGAACATTTCGCGTACGTTTCCCGGGAAAGGGGCCCTATGTGAAAAAAAGCTGATACCCTTAGAATTTTTTGCTTACAACCCATCAAAATGCAAAAATGCAGCGTAAGATCCATGGGAATGTAGTTGATTCGTTATTTTACAAGTGACAAGCACGGATAAGATGATCTATACTTTTACTGACTGAACAACTTATTAGGGGAGTGGTCAGAAACCGAAGTGGCCAATCCAAACAAGCTGCATACCACTAGATGCAGCATAGAACGCTGACTGTGAACCTGTATTCCATACCTGTTTAGCGCCTATGTAAGCGAAGTTATGAGCAGTTGAAGGCCGTTATTTTGATAAGAAATCGTGTATGCAAAGCACTAATTTGGCAGTACTGAGCCATGTTCGGGTGCTGGGCCAAAACACGCAGTTAGGTAATTTAAATTCTTAGAGCTTAAAGATTAGGTGAAAGTGCAACAATGTACTCAATTTCGCAATTTTTATGTACAATTTCTCGTTATAAAACTGCTCATAACTTCCTTCAGGCGCTAAGCATATTCGGGAAAACAGATTTGAAATCAGCGTTGAATGCTGAATCAATCGGTAGGCAGCTTGCTTAAATTAGCCACTTCGACCTCTGACCATACCCTTGTCAGTTTTGTGTTAGGGGAACAGATTCGGTCTCTTAAGCCTATTACGTCCCTGATAGGCCTCGGGCAGAGTTCACGCGATTTCATCGCCGCGATTCTTTCAACAAAACAAACAATCACGAGTATTGCAAGCCGATAATCTTGCATTTTGGTTGTTATAGTCCTCCAACATGACCAATCATGACTAACTATTAGGGTGATCGGTAAAAAATGGGGCAGCTTGATTTTTATTAAATTTTGAGATTTTTTGTTTCGATCAACAATAAGCAGTCTGCAACGTAAGCGTTACTTATATAAGCGACCTTCGCCTATTATTCTGGCAAAGCGTCAACGCTCCTCTCCCACAACATTACGCGTGGCGCCCTAAAGAACTAACAGGGTTTTTTGAACATCGCTCATTCTTGCGCTGCCATACCGTAAAGTTATAGAGCAATTGATATACCGTCCGGAAGAGCTCTTCATGATCTTTCAAACAATATACTAAACACACAGGTTTTCTTTCTATTTCTGGGTAAAAAAAAGCGAAGTACCTGAAAAGTTTGCGATTTTTTAGCGCAACAACCAATAAATCAAGTTTCAATCTGTATTCTCCGATGATAGATAAAATATAAGGTAAGCTGCATATGGATGGATAGAGCGTAAGAAGCTCTTTCAGATGGCACCTATAAAACATGCGTTCACCTGCAAAGAATTGAATAGCACGTATCGTTGTTCTCAAAGCTGCTAATGGCCATATCTCCTGAATTTGAAAGTCGCGGCCAGCAATCCATCGTGGATCTGGTGACTGTATCTTCACGCATTGCAGCAGTAGTACTTTGGATGGTTTCGCATGTTTCACTGCGCAGATACTGCCCGAAGTTTATAACTTGTCAAAGTGACTAACTTTGCATTTCAGCCACTATAAAAATCATTAGGTATGTAAATGACCTTATATACTTATTTTCTGATAGAGAATAATTTATTCTAACATCTATCACAATTGGAAATTTTAATCACTTTTCTTTTTTTTAGAGAAATCTACATTCATTCTCTAGGTGCCCCATTTTTTACCGACACCTTAATATAACAACCGAAATACAAGATTATAGGAATGCAATGGATAACTGTTAGTCTTGTTGGAAGAATCGCGGCGACGAAATCGCGTAAACTTTGCCCGAGGTCATAAGGAAAATCAATTACTTTGATCTCTCCTCCCCCCCTCTCCTCCCCCCCCCCCCCCTTCTCCACCTCCTCCCTGCTCTCATTAAAACGCAGAGCTTCTCATAATCCCTTTTCGTTTTCAGGACATCGACAAGATCTACAAAGCATCAGAGATCAGGGATATCATCGCGTCAGCGAACGATGTATAAAATTTTTGTTTTTTGTTGAGATTCTCCTTCCAAGCTTTAACTTGCCATTGTTGCAGATTGTACAAAGTAAATTATTGTTTATCTTGTTGTTTACAGGTGAAAAGGCAAGCCATGTGTGCGAACAACAATATGCGCAATAATACTCTACGCAAACCATTTTGCTTTGCATCATAAGATGAGAGTGGAAGTGTATATAAGCTTTAAACTATAATTTCCCAGATATTCTGATAAATTTATGTGTTATGTGTTTTAGTTGTGTACCTGTCCTTATTTGTGTGTTCATGTCCTTGTGTATGTGTTGCGTGTATCTTCATATCTGTAAAAAAAAACTGTTTTGTAAACAAGTCTTTATTTTCACACTAACAAAAAATGATGTGTTGTTTTGTTGTTTTCGCATCCCGAGCTAAATACAGGGTGGTCCAGGAATGTGGCGCAAGAAAATCCCCATATTGTTATACTAGAAGTCGAATTCGATCAACCTCATTTGATCGAAACATTTTGCGCATATAATCCGACTTGCTCGCGTGCCGGTCCCGTTCCGGCCGTAAGTTAGGATCGGCTCGGCTGAGGCTACATACGATCCGATCCAAAATTTGTTTTATACGCTAAGGCCTAAGGTATACCTCACGCGATTCGGCAGAATCGCCACTTTCACGCGACTTGGCGATTTGCCAGATTTCTATAAATATATCATGCGCAATTCTCGGACGCATATTTGGGTAGCTTGTGTAAGTTGTTGCAAACAGAGCAAGTTCTGACCAAAGGCAGCGCATTAACGAGGAATTACGAAGAATCGCTGTTGTGCCAAATCGCGCAGCGATCGGAATCGCGCGAGGTATGCCTTAGGCCTAATGCTGCCTCACCCTTTCTTCCTTTTTTTGGCTGCTTCGATTCGCCTCACCGCATTCTCTACACCGCGAAATTAAATGAGCTTTACCGCTCTTTCTATATGGTTGTAGAAAAATAACTCGGTTGTGAAGGGTATGTTCTCATTTTCCTAAGTTATGAAAACAAATTAATAAATCGATAGAAAGGTCTAACGAGTCATTGCAAATAATTAGCCTGTGTTTCCTCTATGGCTATTCATAAGGGAGCAAAATCCAGCCCGAACTACTCAATTAAGAAGATTTATGTTTGAATTATAGTTACAGCGTCCTCACCTTAATAGTTACCCGGTGGGCGAATTCGAATTTGAACTGGAGTAGGGCGGTCGCGGAGGAGCAGCATCTCAGCCATCACTTCACTTCATGTTTCTTTATCGTGTTCCGTGTTTGTGTTAATCACAAACGATATAAGTATGTTTGCTAGCAGAATTGACCATTTTGTTGTTGTCGAGTGTTGTTTGGTCCTGCCATGTTCGTTTCTTCATTGTTTGCAAGTAAGCTGAGAAATGATAAAGGTGTGAAACCAGTGGCCGTATTCATCATTGATACCTTGAGGTAAATTCTATCTCTGGGTAGTTTTATCACTCATTAACAGCAAGAACCCATATTCACAAAAGTACCTTGAGGTAAATTCTCAATGTAATTTTGCTGATAATGAGTGATAAAACTACCTAGAGGTAGAAATTACCTCAAAGTATCAATGATGAATACGGAAATAGGGCTCGGCACAGCTGGCACCGGGTCAGGCTACAGTGCGTTTTATAACTATGCGACATCCCTCAAAAGCTAAATTTTTTTCTGTTGTTGGCAGAGTGGAGCCAATTGCTCTGCGTATATGTGGAAGACATCTGATGTGACACCCAATGACAACTTATTCGCTCTTCAAAAACAACTATCACAATACAAACAGGCGCTTGTCTTCTTATCTTCCACTGTTTCATAACTATACGACACCCCTTTTTATGTAGAAGATCTAAGCGTTCTTACGACAGAATAAGCAATGAACGACCGTGGAAAAGTTCATTCTGTTTCCTTACGACATGCCTCTTGGAACTTTCCTATCATTGGAGGAGCGCGAAGCCATCGTCGCTCATATTGTTAGAGACGCCGGAGAATCGGTGAATAAGATTGCCGAACAATTACGAAGATCTCGAGCGCCATTGCTGGCTATTTGCGTAGTCCAACAACATACGGCCATAACAGAAAAGGAGGACTGCATCGTCGGCTTACAAACAGAGACGAAAGGCGATTCGGCACAAAGCTTCAAACTCAACGTAATCGCTCCGTCAAATTCGCGCCGATCTGGAGCTGGACGTGTAACGAACAACGATTTGGAGAGCAATACGAATGTTCCGGGCACATCAAGCGTGCTTTTATGAGGAAGGTGCTCAGGGTACGCCGGCTACAGTTTGCGAGAGATAATATGGGAAGAGAATAATAGAAGGTAAGCATCATCAAAAGAAGCGCATTCGTACTTTCTAAAACGGTCAGCTGTTTTAGGTAGTCTCGTCCGATGAGAAGAAATTGAATTTGGACGGATGCGAGGGTCAGCAGTGCTACTGGCACGATTTGAGAAAGGCTCCCTTGCTTTTTAGCCGAAGAAACTTCGGTGGAGGCTCGCTCATGATTTAGGGGGCATTCCGAGCAAACGAAAAGGTTGATCTAGCTTTTATCGATGCGACTACGAGCAGCACAAATTACCAAGAAGTCCTTGAGAACCGATTGCTGCATTTTTTCCGCATCTTAGAGGACAGCAGTACATTTTGCAGCAGGACAATGCTCGTGTGCATGTGAGCAGATTAACGATTGACTTTTTGCGTCAACGTCAGGTTGAGGTTCTACTATGGCCGTCATGCGGCCCTAACCTGTATCCCGTAGAGAATCTTTGGGGAATACTGGCACAACGTGTCTACGCAGGAAGCCATATGACACCGTAGAGGAGCTGAAAAGGTCTGTCGTAGAAGCGTGAAGCAGCATAGAGCCGGAAGTCATGAAAAACCTCGCAGGAAGCATGCGCAATACATTTTTTGAAGTAATAAAGGGACACGGTGGCCTGATTACATTTACATTTACATTTATTCATCCTCAGCGGTTACATACAATTAGTACCGCGATGATTCCGTTTATGGCTTGAGTTGGGCGATTTCGACTTCAATCGTCTTCAACGACAAGAATATTCTTGCTTGTGCCAACCAGTACATTCGTGAAGTTGCGCTGTCCATGACTTCTCGACCAAGTAGATCCAGTGGACCAGCCACGGTTTCTTCCACCTTGTCTTCTTGGTATTGGTGGATGGTATAGGTCAGAGCTAAGAGCTAGGCCGACCGTTTGCGAGAAGGATGAGGAGAGAAGTGATTACATTAGAAACACGTTATACAGTTTTTTCTTCCGATAAAATGTTATTGCAAAGGGTGTCGTATAGTTATGAAACAGCATAAGATAGAACAGGTATTTGTAGAGTGGTAATCGCAATGAAACACCGAATGAGATGTCATTTTATCTTATGTTAGGTGTAGACCACAGTGGCACTGATAGTACTGCTCCATCTCTCCCATAAATCCGGAAACTCGATATTTTGAGGGGTGTCGTATAATTATGAAACGCACTGTAGATATCGTCATAGGGCAGAAAGCAAAAGAGATATCGTTTTTCCGGGCGGAGCGGAGAACAGCAGCAAGAATGCCCCTGGCATGCCACCGGCATGCTGTCCAGCGAACAAACAAAGGCGTTGTTTTCAGACAAAATCGGTGTGTGCATGTGCGTTGGGGGACCAAACTATGGCCCAAAAATTTATAAAAACTTACGTGAATGGAAGCTGTGCTGAAGTTTTTGCTGAATTAGCTGGCACCGTGCCAGCTGGATGCCAGCTGAGCTGTCACCGACACTTTTCTCACATAAGTTTTCATATTTTTTTACATAAAATGTAAAGGCTGCTGCACCACGAAGGCGCAGAAGAAGTATTAATTGAGAGGGCGCGAACGCTGCGTGCGTATCTTGACCATTGTAAATCCTGCGCCTCATGCGCTCTGCGGCTGACGAAAACCGCGTTCGCGCCCAAAGATATTGCGCCTTCGTCATGCAGCAGTCTATATCTACACTGTAAAAGTTTACATGCAGAAAAGAAACATTTTTATAATGTTTTCTTTTCAGCGTTTTATAGCATTCTGAAAATTACTCGGTCTGCTCCGCAGTCGAAAAATTGGTTTTTTCTGTTTCTCAAGATGTGAATTAACCACTTAAAAAACCCAGAAAGCTGTGAAAAGTTGTTCCATGAAATCAGCATGCATGAAAACCCTACTATTTTTACATAATCTAAAAATAATGACGGGTTTTCAAAACAGACCAAAGGAGATTTCGTACAAGATTTTCAAGATCAAACGGGACTTCGCTTTGAAATTTCCCTGGTGCCCCAGCTCGTGCCGAGTCTTCACGTAAAAATCTTACGAAAAACTCGTAAGCAATAATTATCTGATAACTTATTCCAGCGTTGAAAAAGACAACCTAAGACGAACGATGCGCGCAGGTCTTTCTGAGATTGGAGAACCTCACTATGCGCACCACTTTTCATTTGAACGACATGCACTAAAAGCATCTAAGCAGAACGATGCAAGACCAAAACTAGCCCGCTCAGAAATTATAGATTCACCAGCGAAAGGGCCCATCCTCCTTTCCGCCGTAGAACACTTTTTCTAAAATCATGGCAACATAACATTAGGCTCAGCTCAAAACAATGCTCTTCAAGTGAAAAAATCAGCGATGGTCAAAAAATGTACTGCTCAGTTATATCCCCATGATATTTCTCGTAGTATTTTCCTGAAAAGTATAAAACAGTGAGGCCACACTTGTACAACGCAGTGTTTTAATGATTTGTGTTTTCTTGTTGAGCTTCGAAGTGTTATAAAACTCCAAAAAATGTAAAATGGACTACAAGAAGTCTATGAACAACAAAACAGTCGATGGTGAAATGTGGTCGTCTGCGGAGTGACTAATGTAAATTTAGTAAGTTGCTTCAACTTAAGATAAAGCAGATTCGGCGGTTCAACTGTCTGCCTCATGCATGAGAAATTATGTGGTATCAAGTTCTCCGCACAGATGTTTGCTTTTCTGAACCTCTAGGGGTTTTCTCTTTACACACTTGACAATTGGTCGCGATATCTAAATCCTGATTCTCATTATTTTCATTATTTCAATAGCTGATCTACATACCAGCTTTTACAAAGACATACCGGCTTACAGACTTACATACCGGCTTTCATAAAGTGAACACAAATGTTTTTTAAAGCGCATAAAGCGCTTCGAAAGTCTTATGCCTCAATTCTTTGTAAATTAAAATCTACACCTTTTTATCCGAAAATCATCCACGTACTGCAGCAATCAGTCACAACAAAATATAGTTATACGAGCTTGAACTCACGTATGTGCTAATTCAAGCAAACTAATGTACCTGTGCTTGGAATAGTTGATTATCAAACTGCTA